AATTTATATTAACAGCAGTAACGTAACCACCTTCAGATGATTAAGCAGCCTTTAAAATGCAAAGACCAGTGACCAATTAAGGCTGAAACTTTTGATCTGTGAATTTGCTAGTAGCCTTGAATTATTAAATTAAAAGCTAAGAGACACAAATAACTTCATTAAGTTGATCTCTCAATAGACAGCAATAGATCTATTAAAGACAAATTACGAGAGAGTAAAAAGCCTTCCCCCAAAAGGGCTTCCTGTTTTTCTTTTATTTTCCTTTGTAAAGTAAAAAAGAGCTTTTTTTTTTCAAAAAAGAGTGTACAGTTTAGACTGTACAATGTTGCAGTCTTTCCTCTTCCAATTTATTTTATCTACGAGAGGTGTAGCATTTTATCCAGATGGGACTGGCATAAAATCTTCTACAGTTCAGGGAATGGGGGTAGAGGGGTGAAGGAAATATACAAAATTTGTAAGATACACAAATATCTTACAGCTTTGTAATGTTTACAGACGCCTGCGACGATATGAACACATTATTCGCGCCTCTCCCGGGTTTTGGAAGGTGACATGCAGGTGAGGGTCCTGGATCTTCCATTGGATGGTGAATGTGCCTTCCATCTCAGATTAGGAGACCATGCTCACTAGAACGTCACTCCAGCATCAGCACCCTGTTTTCCAGTGAAAACAAATGGTCCACCAGGGTCAAGTCCCATTTTTCCATTTTCTACCGTTTAGGGAGATACTTCTGAGTGTTACAAGTTTTCAAGAGAAACGAGAACAAGAGAAGAAGAGAAAAGCTCAAGCTTGAATTTACCTCAAGTAAGGAGATGGAAGAAAATTTCACTCTGTTATTCTAAGTATGTCTAGGGCATTCTAATTTTTTCAATAAGCATATCTTATTGTTCTGGTTTAAAATAGTTACAGGAGAAGTCTTCATCCTAAGGAAAAATGACTAAGATACATTTTTTTAATTGATGTATAATTGATTTACAATGTTAGTTTCAGGTGTACAACAAAGTGATTCACTTATACACACACATGCATATATATATATATATATATTCCTTTTCATATTATTTTTTCATTATAGGCCATTACAAGGTACTGAATATAGCTCCCTGTGCTGTACAGTAGGTCCTTGTTGTTTATCTATTTTATATATAGTAATGTGTGTATATGTTAATCCTAAACTCCTAATTTAATCCCTCCTCCCCTTTCCCTTTTGGTAACCATAGTTTGTTTTCTATGTCTATAAGTCTATTTCCAGTTTGTAAATAAGTATCCATTTGTATCCATTTTTTTAGATTCCACCTATAAATGATATCATGTATTTGTCTTTCTCTCTCTGACTTACTTTACTTAATATGATCATCTCTAGGTCCATCCATGTTGCTGCAAATGGCATAATGATGCATTTTTTGAGACTAAATATCTACCCAGTTGCCCTCCCTTCCCCCAGGTAATTAGCTCTGAAAGTAGTTTGGCTTCCAAAGCAGGAACTCTCAAAATGTCAGCAGGGGAGAGGGTGGAGCATTGTGTAATTGCTACCTTCTCTCTACTTTAACCTCTCTGCCAACTGTCAGAATCACCTAGGCCTTTGGGAAAATGTCTTCAGAAAAGCCAGGTGCCAGCTCTCCAATGCCAGCACGATTTCGTAGGGAGACGTCCTAAAAGTAAAAGTAATGCCCTAGAGAATTGTAAGCACCACCTGGGAAGCTGTTAGGGATGGTTTCTGAGGCCCACCCCTACACCCACTGAACCAGAAACTCTAGGACTGATGTCCAGTCATCCGCGCGGGGCTGACGCACATCACGTTTGAGAACTATGTCCTGAGAGAAAATCTCCTCGGCTGGAAGCTGGCATCTCACACATTTAATTCATCCTTATTACTCGACAATGGCTCTAATTCATGGACTGTGCTCTGTGATTAATTCCTCCATCAGGTGTAACAAGGGCAGCCTTGTCGTCCTGAAACCTCTATGCAACATCAGGGAGAACTACAGGTTTATGAAAGACAGGTCTGTGGGTATTTATTTATGTTTCCTTTGCTTTTTTTATTTTTCATTTTTAAGCACAAAAAGGGAAATGAAATTAACTCCCACATGCCAAAACTCATTACCAAAGAAGCCCGGGAAGGAGATTCTGGAAGTCAGTTAACTGATAACAGGAAGTAGGCTCATGACCATGGTACGCAGATGCTGGGGTTTCAGGAGAAGCAACATTTTTAAAAAAAATATTTTATCTTCCTTCTTTTTCTTTCTTTTCTTTCTTTTTTTTTTTTTTTGCTTCCAAATAAGGACATTCCACTTTTTAAAGTCTTTCTAATAGTATCACCATTTTTTTCCCTAAAATATTTTAGTACCAAAAAGCAAGGTATATATTTCCAGTAATATTGAATGGTCCTTCCCAAGGAAACACTGTTGGCAAGTTTACGTGAACTTTGACCACAGATTATAAAACTTTACTGAGACAGTGTAGGTTCTTTGCTTGAAAAGAGGCCTTTGACAGTTAAAAAGAATACGTCTCAAGACTTTCACAAATACCTATGTTTGCTAACTAACATGCCTTGTTTGTTTGAGTATCTGGCTCTCCATTGAAACCCAAGTCCATCCAAGGTCATTCATTCCACAAATATTTGAGTCCCCACTTGTGTGAGTCAGACAATGTTCTCCATGTGGAAATGCTGCCGTGGTCCCAGCTGCCAGGGCAGCCCAGCCCTCAGAGCACTTCTGCTCCAGGGGAAGAGATGGACAATTAAGCCAACACACATGCACTTTCAGGTGGTGGCACCTGCAGGAGAAAGAATCAAGCAGGGAGGGAGAGAGGGCGTTACGAGCTGAATTCTGTCCTCCCCAGAATTCATATGTTGAAATCCTAACCCCTGCCCACTGGTAGGTAGCTCAGAGCACGCTTGTATTTGGAAAGAGGGTCTTTAAAGAGGTAACTAGGTTCAAACGAGTTTATTAGAGTGGGCCCTAATCCAGTCTGACTTGTGTCCTTATGGAAGTGGAGACCAGAACATAGACACACAGAGAGAAGACCTGTGAAAACCCAAGGAGAAGACAGCCGTCTACAAGCCAAGGAGAGAGCCTTCAGAAGAAACCAGTCTCGCAGACTCCTTGATCTTGGATTTCCAGCTTCTAGAACTACGAGAACAGAAATATCCACTGTTTAAGTCACCCAGTCTGAGTTTTATGTTATCAGTGCCTTAGTAAACTAATACAAAGAGTCTCAAGGATGGTTTAAGAGATGGTCTCTCGCGGGGGCGTCTGTGCACTTGACATTCAGCACAGGAGCAAAGCATGCATACATTTTGATGTTGCACCCTGCAGACCAAAGGACCAGCTCAAGCTTCTTTCATACAGAGCCTTAAACCACAGACTGGCAACCTTTTCAGCTATTCCTACAATGTCTTTATCCCTTGATGGCCATTTTTCACAAAGAAGCCAAGTTGAGAGTTGGGTGTTAGCTCATCAACTAGACAACTCAACCAAAGACATGACTGTTCCCAGAGATTTTCATAGTGAAACTTCTGCCCCAGTAAAAATTCTAATGTCTGCAAGCCATCCTCCTTCTGATCTGCTCAGAAATTATCGTAGTCTTAAAAGCTCCATCCAACTATATCAGTATCCACTTTTATAGCTGAATGGGTCCATTTTGGGTACTCTATTTTATGTGGTTGCAGAATGCTATTATTTATTTAAATGTTGCACAGAAAAGCTATAGTCATTGCCAGTTATAAAGTAACTATTATTTCTAGTCCCATCTAGACTTGGTTTGATTAAAAACGCTGGTGTCTCACTGTTAGGCTGGTCCTTTGATGCCAGGTTATTCTGGTTTCTATTTCAGGTTTTTAATTTATATTAATAACCATCCCCTTTAGTGGACAGACTGCTGTTATGTGTGTTCCTGGCCATTTGGCATCAGAAGTTGTCAGTCTGCATTGCAGTGCTATTTTGAAACTCATTCAAAGAGGCATTATTCTGTGCTTCTTCTCCACAGGCTGAAGCCCCGCTCTCATCTGGGAACTGCCCAGCGAGAGCTGCAGGCCAAATCTGGCTTGAATTTATCCAAAAAGTGGCCTTAGTGTTCACATTTCAACACTGAATGGGCTATTGAATTCCATCCACTACCACCCCCAACCAACCTCTTGCCTGCTTGGAGGTTGACTGTCACCCACAAAAAATTTGTAGATTTTTTTTTATTATTATTAACAGGTTGACATCGTTGTAATGGATTCTGATTAAGTGTTTCTCTTATGCATTTAGTGAGACAGCATTGAGGGCTAACCATGAAAGAAGCCATTTTTGGTAGCATTTTGGGGTGGCCAGTCTATTTTTGAGACATAAATATGGTCCAGTTTATTCATCCACAAGTTGACCCAATTTTGAGTCCAGGATGAGGTAAACCGAGATGCTTTTGACATTGCTCAAGTGTATCAAGACCTGTTTCTTCTGCAGTTTCCTTGGGACATATCAACCCTCATGGACTTGTGCCTTTCCATATGGCCATCAAAATTATAGTTGTGATTAAGTATTTAGTATTTCATACTCTCTGATTTCTTCTTAGGTACACATTCTGCCTTCTCGGGTTGGGAGAGAGATGCTTGAGGTCAGGGAAACGGGGGATAAGCCCCTTCTGAACCATCCTGGCGTCGACTGAAATAAATACACAGCCTGAAAAATTGAAAGTTTTGTTTTATTTGGCGGACATTTCTGAGGACTCGAACTCCTTCGAGCCCAAGATGACAGCCTCTTAGATCGCTCAGGGACTACTCCGAAGAGGAGCTAGGATATACTGGAGTTTTACAACAAAAGACCAGGTAGTTGGAACATTAAAAGATGACTTGTTAACTAAAGAAAACCAGGCATCTCAAGTTCAAGAATTTAGCGCTTTTTTATGTATGGGAGGAAGCAAACATTTGGGCTCATTGAATTCATTCCTTTGACAAGCCCCTAGCTCTCTGGGGCCAGTAACCTGTCCTTTCTTATTCTGAGTCCCCTCAGAGGGCACCATGGTGAGTGGCTGAAGAGGCCGGGCTGCAGGCTTGTCTTCACTAGGGGGTGGGGGCAGCCGTTGATGACTTGATGGCTTCAGCGTTCCTTGTTTACTGACATGGTTTGCAGTATTTTTCGTTCACGCTGGCCTCTAGGAGTTTGCTGCTAAGCAGTAAGGAAGCAACTAGAGATTGTTGGTTGGAAAATTAATGAATCATTTTCTTTGCTGAGAGCTTTTGCAAACATTCGTCACTGTTGGTTTTTCGCCTTGATTTCAGGTTCCGCTTGTGTTACGTCCCATGGAGCTTGGTGTATGCGCTTTGTGTTTTTAATAGCATATAAAAACCTTGAGGAAAGATTGTCTGTAAAACAAGCATTTAGAGCAATACTTTATTCTCCCAGCAACTTTAGGAGATGAGATGGTATTCTTGTCCCTATGAAGACAAGAATATGCTCACTTTTGAATTCCTAAGGCTGACCGTAGTGCCTGGAAGATAGAGTATGCTTAAAAAAAATTATTGAATAAATTCATATGTGAATGATTTTTAGAAGATTTTAAATAGCAATGAGTATTGTTATTTTTTATCCCTGCAGAATAACACCACATACTTCTTCCTGGAATGAATCCCCCATTTCTTCATACGTAAAGCAATGTATTTTGTTGCAATGCTTAAAGGTTGACTCTCTCAAAAGGTATACTGGGAAAGAAGGCAGAAAACAAGAGAATAGACTAACCTGGTATACATGAGAAAAAAATCAAGAATTTTTAGGATTGGATGCCTCATGGGGAGGGCCAAGGTGTGAAAGAGCCCGCAGAGGAAGAAAAATTCAAGCAACAAAGTTGCAGAGAGAGCCTACGGGGAGTAAGGGCTGTGGCCGGGGCAGAGCAGTGTGGGAGAGGAGACTTTAAGGACAAATACATCTAGTATTTTAAGTTGTTTTCTCTGTGATATGGTGAAGTTATTTTTCACACCACCCTGATCACTCCAAACTCTCAATAAACTCTGTGCATTCCTAAAAGCCTACTGTTAATGCTGCTTGTGAGAAAAGCGAGGAAAAGAGACAGAGGTCCAAGGTGTACAGAAATGAAGCAATGGCCACTGTGGCTGAGATCTGCTGTTGTGTAGACATAGAAAGTAGGATCAAAAGAGCCTAATCTCCTGGGAATTCACAGAAATTTCAAAAGGACCTATTTATGCAAATAATATGCATAATTTTAGGAAAGGGTGTTCAAGTCAGTTTTGCTAAACCTTCAAACCAGAGAGTCACATTAGTTGATAATCAGGCTGCAAATGAATTAATGTTTATTTTATACTGATAATTTATTTCCTAAGAAATGAATATATTTAAAGTATAATTTTTCTAGTTACAACAATCAAGTTCAAGGTAAAAATGTTCTAAAACTTATATTAGCAAAAAGAAGAAATATGAAAAATACTCGTAATCCCTTGCCTTAAATACAGCTACCATTTGTAGTTTGTTAGTTTTTTTACCTCCTGGGCCTTTTGCCCAGCTCCTTAAATTGTGACTGCCCTATGTGACTTAAATACACTGAGAATGAGGGTTGCAATTCCCAACCTCATCTTCAAGAAGCTTTGGACATGTCCACTTTTTCTCTTAAAACTTTTCTTTGCCAATTAAACAAGCTTGTTCCCATATAGAGGAGATGCTAGTTTTCCTATAAAAACCCATCCTAGACCAGCCTGTAGTTTGTCAACACATACATGTGAGAGAGCTTGGCCAAAATCAGCAGGCTGCCTCCCCAGACTATAAACCCAGTCTTATCCAGAAGAACCACCTAGCTGACTTTCAGACTCATGAGAAATACTCAGTGCTTATTATTTCAAGCCAATGTGTTTTGGAAGAATTTTGTTACATAGCAATACCTAACTGCTACATCTTATTTTATAGAGAAAATGGACTTCATTAAAGATTAAATTACTTGCTCATGTAGCATGTCATATAAAAACAGAATCAAAACTTTAATCTATGTTTTCTATGTCCCAGCGTGAGTGATTTCTGTTTTGATACATTTCTTTATACAATAGTTTTCATCCATTCCTGTTTTTTTAACTTAAGATACTGTATCTAATTTAAATTTCTCTTTATACTTATTCTGGTAGCTTCAATACAGGATATATTTTTTCCTATGTATTAAATATATAAACTGCTTTTTTCTCAAATGTTTATGGGTTTTTTGCTTTGTTTTGCTTTGTTTTGTTGGTAGGCTCAGGTATTTTATTAGATGCTATATGTTCTTTGAATGGTTCTGTTAACTTGAACTCAAAATTAATAAAATAACATTTACTATCTGCTTCTACTTATACACACACCCAGCATGGCTCCTTGACTTCTGCCCCAACCCGTGACCAAAGTCTTGAAGCCATCTCTAACTTATCCATCTCTGTCATAAGCCATCTGTTAACACAGCATGGATTTCTCCTTCCAGGTATCTCATGTGGTCTTTTTTTTTTTCCACTCAAGTCCATGACCACACCACTAACACAAATTGTTTCTACCTGTATATTGATGCTTTCACATTTCACCCCATCATCTTTCTAGTGGGAAAAAGAGGAAAGCTCTCATTTCCAGACTCCTTTTCAGTTCTAGATGTGGATTAGTTCTGTCACTCAGATGCTCTTATGCAGGATTTGGAAGGCAGTAAGGGAAGAGATGACCTTTGTCAGACCCCTGACTCCTTTTTATCTGTTTCTAGCTGCAAATTATACTGTGGGAACTAGGCTCTAGTTTCCATTCTCCGCAAGTTCCTGAGTGTTGAGGGCCAGCTGCAGCAGAGGACTCAGAAATATTAGCTTTGCTGTCAGCTCCCTTCTTTAGTGTTCTGGAAGCTTCCCTAGGTGGCCAGCTGAAGTCCCACCCCTTCAATGCTTCTGGTGATTTTGGAAACACCTAATTTCTCATATTAAATCCCCTTTTCTTTCAAATGTGTAGAGTCATTGCTAAGAATTTTTTTTTAAATATAATTAAAAGAAAACCATTCTAGAATACAGGACTTTGTCCTCCAAAATGAAGAATATAGTTTGTATTCAAATGTCACTCCATCATTTATAGTTGTACTTCTCTGAATATAACTATACCAGAGTCAATTAATTATTGGTGAAAAATGAAAACCCTCACCCCTAAAACATCATCATCTTTAGAAGGGGTCTAGATTTGTGCATTTCAACCAGCACCTCAGGGAAACTTATTCTCCCTGAACCATGACGATTATTGATTTAAAATAACTCTGCAAGTGTTAGACTTCAAAGAAAATCTCAACAAATAGAAACTGTGTGTGTTCCATTTATTAACCCACACAATTAAACTAGATATTAATAATAAAGTATTACATCGTAAGAAGCATATCATTGAGAAGTTTATGTATCCTCCCCTCTAAATTATTTCAAAGAGGAAAGGAAAAGGAAATTACAAGCTTTTTAAACAATAATATACATTGGATGATTATGTACCATCGGACAATGAACGTAGCCAAAGATGTATTCAGAAGGAAGTTTGCAGGTGCAAACACTTATGTTATTAAATGGGAAAAAAATGAAATCGAAGAAAGAAGTTAGAAAGAGAACAACAAAATGGGAACCAAAGCAAGTGGAAGAAAAGGAAGAATAAAACTAAGGCAGTATTAATAAATTAGAAAAAGAAATGAAGCGAAGCTGAAATATTAATACAAGAATTGCTACTTGGGGGAAAATATACTAAAACCATCAAATTTATTCACGAATAAAAGAAAACAAATACAACAAAATAAATACAAAAGTTTTTTAATGAAAAAGCAAAATAATATAGAAAACTTTCTGATACTTGAAACTATAAAAAGATTAGAAACTTTTCTGAGGGTGTATAAATCATCAAAATAAATTCTAAAAAGGTTTGTATATGTGTGCATGCAAACAGACGAAAGATAAAGGGAGAAATGACAACAATTCAGTGATTAACCTCCAAGTAAGATGCCTACATGATTGTATAGATGTATTTCTTTCTCATTTTTCCCATAGTATATAAGCTATTTTAGGGCATGTAAAAACATGGAAGACTTCTCAATTTGTTTTTAAAGGCAATACATCCCTGACACCTAAAAACTAACTAAGATGACAACAAACGGACAATTCTAGGTGCATCTCAATAATTAATATTATTAAAAAGATTACTATATAAAATCCCATTAAATCAAGTACATTTCCCAGGAGAAGAAAAAATAATCAGGAATGATTTAGTCTATAAATGTAAGGATGGCTTAACATAAAACAATATACTGATATCCATAACACCAATAGATCAAGGAAGAAAAAGTAAATGATTATTGCAATAGATTTTGAGAAGTCACTTGGAAAATTCAACACCATTTTAATGCAAGTTATTTTTATTATGTTTGGAAGCTTCTTTCCATTTTCAGTTTTCTATGTGAAATGATAGCAAAACTGACATTTATTTATACAACAGTTGAGGTGTGCTTTTTAAGTTCAAGTAAGAGATTAAAATATCCTCAAGTTACTGCTACTAATTGAAATCATTTAAAAAGTTTTCACCAATATCACATTCTTTTTAAAAGGGGGCAAAGAATTTTTTTTAAAGATAACGTGAACTACCAAGAACCTTCGAAAACTCAAATCAAATATTCTTATACCTAATAAGAGATTTTCATCAACAAAACAAATATGGAGGACATATTAATATTTATAAGTATTCCATTTTCCTCTACGTCTGAGTGCCTGGCTTCCTAACTCCCTTAAGGGTAGTCATGGCCATGTGACAAGCTGCTGGTCAATAAAATGTGAGCAGAAGTGACCCATGTATGTTTTAGGCTAAAGTGTTTATTTGCCTGTGCTCAGTTCTCCAATTGGCCTTTCCCTGGCTAAGGCAATTGCAATTGTGAAAGCATTTTTGGATATAAAGGTGCCCCAAGGGTAAATCCAGTCTGGTCACTGAGTCAACACATGAAGAGTAACTTTCCTGGAGAATTGCCCAGACCTGCAGAGAGCTCTGCATGATGAAGAAATAGATGTTTATTGTGTTGAATTAAGATTTGAGGGTAATTACTGAAAGATAACCTGTCCCAGGTAATGCAATAAATATTAAAAAATGAACAACTATCTTACATAATAGTTTGACAATACAGAGGAAATAGTTAAACAATACAGTGGGAAAATCTATCACATCAAAGTGAATGTTAAAATAAATATTTAAGCATGAACAAAAATATTCATGATTCTTTTAAAGAAACATAAAACTTTACTTAAAATATGAGTTTAATAAATGGAAAGTCATACCATATGACAGGAAGGGAAAACAGTTTTATAAACCTGTCTACCTTCTCTCAAGTTCATTGGTAAATTTAACAAGTTAAATTAAAATTTCAAAGTGACTATTTTTTTCCTAAACTTAACAAAATCATTACAGAATATATCTGAGAGAATAAACAGTTGAAAATAACTGAGGAATTTTTAGAAGTAATGATCAAGATTTGTGCTATTAAATACTTGGAGAAAATATTTGCTGGGCTTATGTATAATAAAGAACATGTAACCAAATTTTATATTAGGAAAAAGCCTCTCATGACTTAATAATGAAAAGGCAACCCAATTTAAAAATGCACAATGATTTGAACAAAGACATCACAAAAGCACATGGATAATCAACACATCAAAAGATGCTCAACAGCAGTTGCCATTTGGTAAGTGCAAAATAAAACCACAGTGAGATATCATCACTACTCACACCCTAGGATGGTTAAAACTTTAAGAGACTGAAAACAGCAAGTGTTTGCAAGGGTGTGGAATAGTCAGAACCAGTGCACGAAATGGTAAAAGCACTTTGGAAAAGAGATGACAGTTTCTTGTAAAGTTACACGTATACTTACCATATGACTCTGCAATTTCACTCCTAGACATTTTTCCAGGAGAAATGGCAACATATTGCACACAAAGACTTGTACAGGAATGTTCATGGTGACTCCAGTCATGACAGCTAAAAATAACTCAAAGATCCATCAACATGTGAATACCCAGATAAACAGACTCTGCTATAACCATGCTGCTCAGCAATGAGAGAATAGACTGTTGACCAGTGTAACAGCATTATGCTGAGTCAAAGACAACGGACGCAAAAGAACACACACGATATAATACCACTTATGGAAACTTCTGGAAAGTACATGAGGGAAATTTAGGGTGAGTGATTGAAATGTTATATATCTTGATCATTTACATTGATAGCAATGCATCAAATAAGACACTTAAATAAGTGCATTTTTACATATAAATTACACTTATATAATTTTTTTAAAATGACAGTCTACCGAGATGATCTCAGCTTTCTCGACCCTAACGCTCTATGGTATGTGGTCAATAATTTATGACAAACTAAGTTTTATAATGTTACCTGCCCCAACTCACAGACATAGATAACAAACTTATGGTTATGGGGGCCGGGGGGGTAGGGGGTGGAAAGGGATAAATTGGGAGCTCAGGATTTGTAGATACAAACTACTACATATAAAAAAGATATACAGCAAGGTCCTACTGCAGAGCACAGGGAACTGTATTCAATACCATGTAATAGCTTATAGTGAAAAAGAATCTGAAAAGGAATATATATATATGTATATGTATAACTGAATCACTATGCTGTGCACCAGAAATCAGCACATTGTATATCAACTGTTCTTCAATAAAAAGCCCTCCCACAAAATGCTATCTGTCCCAGAAGGGTTCCCTCTAATGCCTCCAATTTTAGAAGGAACAAAGTCTTGAATCCAACGAACACACTGCCAGCGGTGGAACACTGAGACAAGGAGAGCAGAAACGCTACCATCCCATCACACAGGGAAGTGCTCTCTCTACCATTCCAGGGAGAGAACAGCTCCTCTTCTTCAGTTGACTCTGTGATTCCTAATTAGACAGAAGGTCCTACTGCTGAATTAAAGGGGCAGCAAACCATTCCCACATTGCAGTGTTAGCAGAGAAACACCTGCTTTCTGTGTCCAATTTAGCTGTCTTCAGACTTAACTTGATTCTTAAAAAAATCTAACTGAAATGGAATGTATATGACAGAGAAAGAGCAATCAAAGTCAGACACCAAGAGAGAGAAAGGAGGAGAGGGAGGGCAGGAGGGAAGATGGGGAGATGGAAGGAAGGAAGGAAGGAAGGAGGAAGGTAAGTAGGTAGGTAGAGAGGGAGAGAGGAAGGAAGAGGGAAAAAAAAGAAGGACAGACAGGATGGACTAGAGCATCATTTAACAAATCAGAAAAATAAAAGAAGGCAGATGAAACAGGACAGCCTTTGTCTAAAGCAACTCTGTTTGACGAGCTTAAGGCTACTCTTTGCTGTCACTGTTTATCTGGGAACTTTTTTGATGATGTCATTCAGAAACCAGGGAGGAAAACCAATTCGTCTTTGGAGATGAAAAGTTGTCAACTGTTTTCTTTAAAGTCTAGTATTTAAAAAGACAGCATTAGAGTCCAGAAAGTCCAGGAACTGAATCCAGATTATTTTGAAGTTTTCTTAACCCTTTCCCACTGGCATTTTTTTATAACTTCACAAAATTTTCTAGGGCACCACTTATAGGAAGATCTCTTTTAATCAAAATTTAAATAATTTACACATCATTCGTTAGCAACAGGCAAGGCCAGTGGTACCTACAAGTCATGCTAGGTCTCTGTACTTATTCTTTCTGCAGACTGGAGACCAATGGGAACTCTTCTTCCAGACTTGGGAGATTTTCTACTAACACCACTAGAAAGTCCAAAGAGGCCATAAGGAACAAGTTAAAGGGGGGGGGGGAGAATCGTGGTGAATGCTTTTGATAGACAGGTCAGAATTAAGTTTCTTATAATAGCTAAGTACCACTTCTGACAGCCATGCTAGATTCCTGCGTCCATCACACCTCGGCTCAGGCTGAGCCAACAGCACCATAAAGCAAGCCCGTGGCTGTGTCTTGAGGCAATTAGATCAAACACATGGGAGAGGTGAGGGGCTCTGGCTGGGTCTGCAATTGAAACACAGGCCGTAAAGTCCTGGAAATGAAGGTTTCTCGGCTATCAAACCAATGATTGCCACATGCCAAAACATAAACCAGATTGCATCATGAGCAGGTTTTTTCATAATTTCCTCAAATTAGGTTTTTATTAATGCCTGTCAACAGCAAATGATAGGCATGTGTTGCATTAGCAGCGGCCATCGGCCATGCCAGCCCTGACATCACAGCTCATCTAAGCTTTACAGTAGCAAGCCAAGGACCTGTTAGGCTCTCTGTGGATAAAACCTCAAAGAGATTGTCAAAAAGAAAAAGTAGTTGAGTTAACATTTCATCACGAATGGTGCATAATTGTTGTTGAATGTGGTTTTAAGTAAATTAAATGGATTTTCATCCCCAAACGAAGGTTCTCACGTTTCTCCATTGTTTGCAGACAACTTGATTTAGTGCAGGGCTTCTGGCATCTTTCTGGGCTATTTCAAGGGTTCTGGTCTATTTAAGTTCTATGCTCCTTTAGCTTCTCACACATAATCATGAAAGACTAGTTGCCTCCAAAGGGGATTCTGGTGATGTGGCTGATTTCAGAGAGGCAATC